TAACATATTATTTTTGATAGATAATATTGTTAAACCATTCAATCTATCATGTAACATAGTCGATCTTAAATAAGATTTTAGTAATTTTAATTTTGAAAAACTTCTTTCAGCGGAAGCAACTGTTACGTGTATAGTTAATAATACACGATAAGTAATACAAGTATTTAGAAAAGAATCTAACCACTTTATATAGTTCAACACTTCAATTGGACTATTAATCTCTACTGTTAAAATTTCCATAAGCACTCTCAATTCTGAAAACAAATCAAGTCCATTAATATCTAAATGTTCATCATGTTTTAGTGCATTTTCGAGATTAAGACAATATTCTTTCAATTCAATATCATCTAAAGCTTTTAATTTTTTCAAATCAAACAAAAAACGAAAAATTTTCATACGTTTTAAATTGTTCAAACCTACTTTCAATTGAGCCAAACGATTTATCAACTATGTATAAGAAATATTCAATACAAAAATATTCTTTAACGTTAAATATTGTTTCATTACCAATATTTTCATCAAATTATTTTTTTCTATGAATTTTACGTTTTTCGCGAAATATAGGTTGTACGTTCATTTCATTAGCAAGTTCTTTAGTTGAATTCAAAGCAGACATAAAACCATCGAAATATAGGTTGTACGTTCATTTCATTAGCAAGTTCTTTAGTTGAATTCAAAGCAGACATAAAACCATTTTGTCTATAATTTTCTAAATATACAATAAGACCCTTTAATTGATCTATGGCAATATCAATATGTATATCTTTAGATTGTAAGATTTTACTTACTGATTTAACAACAAACAGTATGACATACGAAATATTTATTGCTAATAAGAATTCAAAATTTTCAATCTCATAAGTTGCTAATCTATTGGCTTCACTTTTTATCTTTGGATCTTCACTAATTTCTGCTAATTGAATCAAAGAATCTCTTATATTTGGAGCTTGAAATTTTATTGCTTTAACACTTTCAATCCGACCTTCCCATCTAGTTTGACATAAAATATGGAACTCCCCGTGAAAACTTAAACTAGAGCACCTAAATGAGTATACCATCTATGATATTTAAAAAAAATTATTCTCAAATGCCAAAGTAAATACATCAGCTTCTTCTAGTATGAAACAATTAACACAGAAAATCCATACACATCCAATTTTGATAATAGCTACATATCATACTCAAATTCGAATCTAGTATATCCATGAAAGATGCTTGGAAAATTAAAAATATTAAGGAAACGAGACATCATGCTATTTTTTCTAGAATACTTGAGAGAGATTAACAAGCAAACCCTAAAAATCGCGAAGAAAGGGGGAAAAGGAGTCACCTTTGAGAGAGTATTGCTGCCTGCTCACAGAGAAACCCTAGATTCTGAAATAGAGATGGAATTTAGAAGCGGCTGCAAATATTATTTATAGGTCACTGTGAATGACTCGTGAACGTCCGATGAATGAGAAGTGTGATTACGATTTCAGACCCCAATAACAGATTAAGTAGGCGTTAACAACCGACCCGACCCGACCCGCAAGCGCTGAATCCTCTCGACTCTGGAGAGGAAGCTGTTTATATTTTATAAATCCTTGCATCATTAGGAGATGGCTGGAGCCTGGCGTTGAATCCCAGGTGGGTCCTACCCAAGCTGAGGCCCAAGGCAAAAGTCTTAATTGCCTTAAAGTAGGGACGGCCCTGTGCTAAACACCTAACTTAATAGGGATTTTCTAATTGGTGATGGTTATGTATGGGTGAAGAGCATTAAATATTCACGATTATTATCTAATTTTCTTCAGTAATAGATTTTTCATGTAACATATGAAAGGTAAAATTCTGTCCTATACGCGTAAGCTGTGACGATTAATATGTTTGAAATGTAACGCTCATGTGATTTAAGAAGACTTAACCTTGCTTAACTACAGGCATTAAACAATTCATTGATGGATAGCTATATAGCATAATGAAATATAAAAGAAGTCAGTACTTATAGAGTATATTTATATTGAGAACAATGTGCATCCTTCAAGTTGAGACGGTTGAATCTTACTCAAGTGAATAAAGGGAGAAAAAAAAAAATCCATTGTAACCATAATTGACCGAGATTCAATTACATCATTGCATATGAGAAAATACTCTCATATGAAGTATTATATATAATACCCATTTATCTCACTTATATTTAAGAATATATATATTTTGACAGTACTCAGCTGCGCAACTCTGAACGCTCACTTGAATAGGGACGCCTCATACCGGCCATCACCAGCCACCGCAAAGGCCCAAAATAGTCTTAACTGCTTTAACAGCTCAAAGCGCGCAAAACCTTTTTTTTTTTTAAATCGATTGCTCGCCACGTGAGCTTGTTGCGGTGCGCCTGCGGAGTAACATTAACGTGCATGCGGCTACAATGGTTCCACGAGTCCTGGCCGTTGAATGCCACAAAGCGTGAGGGATGGACAAGAGAAGCCACGTTTAGTTAACTGCATCGCTGAGGCTATCGACGATTCTGCGCGGCCGCTTCATGTACGAATGAATCAACGGACACGGCAGCGTATATTTACCATACCCAGGCCGTTATGTCTGAAACGAACCGGGTTCATTTTAGTTTGCATATTAGCCCCACTTGAGTACAATTCTTTGCTTTCAAATACAAGCCTACTAGTAGGGCTGAGCATGGTTCGGTCCAAACCAAAAAAACCGATCGAACCGACCCGGAAAAATCGGTTTTATGAGTAGGGCGGTTCGAGTCGGTTTGAAAACTTTTCAACCCGAACCGACCCGAACCGACCGAATATAGTGCAATAATACCCATTCTGATCTCAAACCCTACCCGACCCGTCCCCAAAGAGTCAAAGACTCAAACCATAAACTCATTTTTTGAATCATTATGGGTTAAAAACAATATCATTATATCAGTGTTTAATGCTTCATAATCTCCTACTTTGTTGATATCTTTTTTTCTTTAACACAGTTTCTTGCTTGATAAGAAGTTTGATGAAGTTAGAACCGAACCGCACCGTACCGAACCGACTTGCAACAGTTCGGTTCGGTTTTGAATTATAGGCGGTTCGGTTCGGTTGTTCAAATTTTGGTAAAAACCGAACCAAACCGACCGTTGCACACCCCTACCTACTAGCTTCTTGGATCATTTTTTTTATAAGAAACTATCTGTTACCGTACCAGAAAAGTGAAAAAGCACTCATGCGGTTATTATTTTACATCTATTAATGCAAGAATGTAGCTCCCACATGAAAATTTTAACAGTTTTTAGATGCTTCAAATTCTAATAACAAATATTGTTTTGACAAATGCTTCAAAAAAAATAAATTGTTTTCACAAATAAAACATAACTAATTTATTTCAACGTGACCATGAGTCATTCCAATTGCGGTGGGTTCACAAAAGAGATCAACAGCGTAATTTAGGTTCCCATTCAAGGTACTGAGAAGTGCTCTCGCAGATGTATAGTCGATCGAACTTTTCAAACTCATGTTTTCATCCCGTCATTCTTCTCGTCCCCATTTTCTATAAACAAGAGTTTATCGCAAGATTTATCTGCAGTTTAAATAACTAACTCAACAAGCAAGATTTATCTGCAGACGTGCAAATCGATCAAACTTTTTGAAATCAAGTTTTTCATCCTATCATTCTTCTTGTCCTGATTTTCTAGAAACAGAGTTACCTATTAGGGTGGAAACAAATCAAATTGCTTAAGGCTCCGTTTGGATATCATGGTGTTTTACTTGTTTCTATGGTGTTTTTCCCAAAAACAAAACACCATGCGTTTGGAAACCATGGTGTTTTTGAGCTAAATCATCCTCAAGCAAAAAACACAACACTTATTTCAAAACACCTTTTAGGTGTTTTAAGTTTGGTGTTTTGATTTTGAGTTTGAGAAAATGTTAATACAATATCTAACATAATATATTAAATATAATTAATATAGAGTTATTATCAACATGCTTATTATATTATACTATACTACACTACATTATAGTTAATTAAATATATTAGTAATATTTATTAAGTAATATAAAAATATAATAAATAAAATATCTTATACAATAATATAATAACATATTAAATACCAATATTTAATATGTTAATAATTTATTATAATAAATAAATATTAATAAAAATATAAATAAACTAATAAAAAATAATAAAAAGTTATTGATAATAAATAATAATATAATAATATACTATACAATAGTATAATCACTATAATACTATTAACATTTTAATAAATAAATTATAATAAATTTATAATTATAAAATATTATATAATAGTAACATAAAATATTATATAATAGTAACATATTAATAATACCATAACAATATAATAATATTATTATAAACATATTGTCTAGTAAATACAATATAATATATAAAATATTAATATATTATGTAATAAATAATATAACTTATTATAAAGTAAAATAATTTATAACAATAAAATAATTTATTGCTAACAAATGTTAATGTAAAAATAATATATTCATAATATAATAATAATTATTTTAAATATATAATTATTTAAAAATAATATATAATAATTAAAATATAACATAACTCATTAAAGTATAATACAATATTATAATATATTATACAATATTATATTACATTACATTTAATACTTATAATATTATAATAATGCAACTAAATGTTATAACATTTTATTCACAATATATTTTATTATATATAATATATAATATATTAATAATATATTTAATACTAATGTTATAACGAATCAAACTAGTGTTGATAAAAAATACTTAACATTGTATTTTGAAAATATTTTAAAGTAGAAATATAATACCATAATGTTATTTTACAAAACACAATAATGAAAACACGGTGAAATCCAAAGGAAGCCAAGATAAACAACAGTGATTGAGGATCTTTATCGACCCTCAGCCAAGCAAGTAAAAAGCTTCCGGATCCAACCGGTCAAAAGTAAATCTTTTCTAGACCCCTCAACCAAGCAAGTAAAAAAACTTTACGGTCCGCTGACCGGTCCATTTCCTAGCGAGCAAGCAAACCTAGCCACATCAATGGGGACGGCCAGCGGCGACACTCTCTGGTCTAAAACTCAAGTCTTGGAGGGGAAGGCAGTAGAGCGGTATAAATAGGATAAGAGAGAACGAGAGAAAAAGAGAACAACAACGGAATCAGAAATCAAAAGAGGGAAAAAATAAATAATAATTAAAAAATAAATCAGAGAGGAGAGCGATGCATCTTTACAACGCTTGGCTTCCGCCTCAAGTAGCAGAAGATTCGAAGCAAGAGTCGGAATCTTTCGCATCAATCGTCAGATCCGTTAAAGATTCCTGGAGGCCTGATGATCCCGATTCCGTCTACTCCACTCTCAAGTGGATCTCCGTCATTGATCTGTAACGCCGTTAGCTCTCCTTTTTTCTCACTTTTTGTGTCTAAATCGGGAATTTCGTGAGAATTTAGCTCGAATTTTGCTTTATTTCTCTAATTTTGATCGATTAGGGCTATAACTAGTGGATAATTTCACAGAGTTTGAATATTTGCGGCAGTCGGTGGATTTGGAGCTGTTTAGGTTTATGTTCGTTGGTTCTTAATCACTGTTGTTTATTTAAGACTATTTTAAAGTAATTAAAGCTATATTATCAGGACTTCGTGATTCTGGACGTTATTTCAGTTCATCTTGAAAATACGTGCAGTCGACCTAATTTGCGGAGTTGGACGCAAATTTATCATTTTTTATGCTGTTACTTTTGCACGTACGACTAATATATAGGATTGAAAATTGAAAATTTAGTGAATAAGTGGCATTTCAGTTCGTTGTTTTAATTGGCTCGTGCTTGAGTCAGTGTGCACCGCTAGATTTAAATTCAGCGGGAATTTAATTAATCGCACCTATTTTCCTTGATCACTTGCCTTTATTGTGATTTTCTATGATTCAATTGATTAATCATTTTGCTCATTTTTGTAGTTTCCTACTTTATAAAATGTACTGATCATTATGTTCTTTCAATTTATTTTATTTTATTTTATTTCCTTTTGAAGTTTCATAAAAGCAAAAAGTGAAGTTTCTTCAGAAGATGTTCAGCAGCTCGTAGAAGTTGGTTTGGAGGTGTTCCATGCAGCTCAGAACAAACTCTATGCTCAGGTACCGTTCGTGTAGAGGGTACACAATTTGTGTTACTTGCCTTCTTTTTTATTCTGAAATATAACTATATGAATTAGGTTAGATGGGGAGGTATATTAGTCAAACTTCTGAAGAAGCATGGCAAGAGATTGTCGCTCACGATTCAGTGGAGACCGCTATATGACAGTTTGATGCGCACGCACTTTAAAAGGTGAATTTTCTTCTTGAAGCTCTTGGATAATTTGGATGCTGAAACAAATAATTTGCATGAGAAATGAAAATGAGCTATTTCAATCACAAACCCCTTTAATTAGTTCTCTCACACTTTTTAGTTGTCTATTTGTCTTCATTTTTAGGTTAGGTGAATTCATGAACTGTATTATGGTATGATGCCATGGATTTGTGTGTTACAATTGTTGCACGAGTCAGCACATAGGATCTTGTCATTGAGGTTTAAAGTGCAACACACTCTCAAATAGTTCCGTATGGTGTTCCTTCACAAATTGCTGTATTTCTTCAGTTGGTGATTGGCATAGAGGAGGAAGGGAAATCTTGGACCTTTGTAGTAGAAACAAGGATACTATATACATATTGTCACTTTTAAGGATATATATATTTTGTAGAGAAGGAAGATTATTCAAGCATAAAATGATGAAATATTGCTATTATATGCAAAGTCACTGAGTTAGAAAAGTGTCTGCAAAGATGGCATCAGAGGTAAAAAGAGAAAAGCTTCATTAGAGCTGCTTGAAGCCCTGTACTAGATCATCAGGCTGCAAAGCATTTTCATTTTGGAATTGGTCCACCTTTGATAAATCTTCAAATTATCTAGAGCTGTATCTTCTTTGATCACAGCAGGGATATGAGATTAATTGAGTTAAAACACTAAGTTCTGGATCGTTGGATGTCACCGTCCCATAGGATGCAATTTATTTGCCTCCTGACTGTAGCAGTTTGATTACAGGAGTGATATTTCTTACATTGTGATTTGTGACTCGTATTGAAGATGGGAGAAATTTTTACTGCATTGTGATTTGTAAATCATTGTGTTGTCGTGCGAGTGTTGTAAAAGTCACAAAAGCAGCACTAAATCATTAATACTCAGAAAAGCCCCATCCAAAAACATATGCAGCACGAAAAGTGGCCCAAAAACAGCCACTAAATCCATAAGTGGCTAGTGGCTACCAAAAACTATTTCCTTGATAATGTACATTAAGTCGTTAACTTGTTAACCATTTGGCGTACGTAGTCTACTACATGGTAGTTTATCACACTATAGTATGCATAGTACTTTGTTAATATTGCATGCTTGAATCTGAGTATTATTACACATCTATTTAATGTTTAAGGTCTCTGTAAACATCATATATGCATTGTATAATTTTTCTCCTAGTTTTGCTGGTTTTGTAATTTTTAAAAATTTCCTGATGTCGTCTTTTTTTTTGAAATTTTCCCAATTTAGACATTACAAAAATAAACAAATTGGTGTGGCACTTTTTCCCACTTAAGCCCCAAAAAGCCTAAGCAGCACCTTGCTGCTTTGCTCTGCTTTCTGCTTTCCACAGCCTGTGGAAATGGAGGAAGGAAATAACTGGTCTTCTGAAAATGATGGTTGTTGGGCCATAGGTTTAACTAATCCCCATTTCATCCTTGAGTGCAGTTGTCTCAGAGTTGTGTATAGAGTTAATTCATTTAGTTGTTTCTCTTGTTTTTTGTGTATTGAGTGGTAACATGTTACATTATGATTGAAGCAGAAATAAATGTTAACTTGTACTAACTCACGAGGTGCATTGAGCAGGCAACTGACTCAACATGCTAGTAATTCTTCTCATACCATTTTACAGTTAGTTTTAACTTTTGTTTGCATTTTATGTTGTATTAAGTTGAAAATGCATTTTGTCACTACACTATCAGCTGATGTGAATGAATTTAATACCAAATGAAACGAGTTTCTTGACTTTTGTCAGCACTTAATTTGGTTATAAGAGTGAATTTGCAACTGAGTTTTGACAACCTTAATATAAATTCAGAAAACATAAAGTCTTGGTATAGTTCTTAGTAAGTGATCACTTTCTAATATTGATGTTCTGTAGTATGTCCATTTGATACTTATCATTTTATTTGTAATTGCTGTATAGAAGATATAGCCGATTCAACTTGTTTCTTAGTTTTAATTTTCTAACTGACATATGCACCCACAGAAATACTGGTCCGGAAGGATGGAGATTAAGACAACGACATTTTGAGACCGTGACATCCCTCATCCAGTCGTGCCGAAAGTTCTTCCCAGCGGGTTCTGCTTGTGAAATATGGACAGAGTTCAAGTATATGTTTTTTCATAATAATTTTGCTTCATTTTATTTCTTTAATGTCTATGTTATGACACTATTTAACCATTATATATAGTGGTTGCCTCATTGTGAAAAGCAAGCCAGAGATTTGTGTGAAACGTTAATCCATTTTGCACTGTTTCAAATAATTTCCAGATCTTTATGATTTTCATTCTCAATATGTGCTCTTCTTTCATTTCTTCATTCTGTCCAGCCTGTAACTTTTGCTCAAGAGAAATGATGATTTTCTCACACATCACTAAAAAATTTATTGGCTATGCTTCTTTGAGAATTCCCTTTGGTGGATACTGGTTTGCTTTTTGGTGATTTGCTCCTGTAAACAGAAGCATCATCAGAGACACCAGATCTATGATGTACTCTGACTTTGAAAATTAGTTGGTAATGTCCAGCTTCCAGATACCATCTTGATTTCGAGGCTACCATGCCCTTTTTCTACATTCTTACAACATTATGTGGTCTGTTTTTTTGGCAGTGAGTTTTCTCAACTCTTCTACTTATTCCTTTGTGGATATGTTATTTTTGAGAGTTATGTGGTTGTCGCGCTGCTTATAAGTTCCTTGTGTCTGTTTAAGTTCTTTTTTTGTTCATTTATTTCTATCCAGTGATTCCTTTAATTTTGTCCCCTTTCTTGACACAATTGGAATTGCCAACTGACATTAGTACATTCCCTTGGCACCTAGTTCATTTTCATGAAAGAAGGTTCCTAATGGGTTTTTGGGATTCATTTATTAGAATACACTGAGTCCATCTTGTTTTACATTTTGTTTCATTTCCTCACATCCTTGATTCTTTTTATTTTTGGTGTTTCTGGCGTCAATAAAATGTGGTCAGCCTACAGGTACTACTAAACTAACTTAAAACTAGCTATGAAGAGAACTATCTTCACAAACATAGTGGTAGCAAAAATATAAAATCTAGCTAAAAACAATATTTGATAGGGAATGATGATTATGAGGTGGCGGCTCATTTAGCAAAATGAGCTACCAATGGATAAAGATGTAAGATTCACACCATTTGATGTGATTAGCATGGTGGGCCTTGTCACATGTCTATCTCTTGGTAGCTCATTAGCAAAATAAGCCGCCACCTCATACACATTTTTTCCTATATAATATTTCTGAATTTTTTTTATAATGTTTAGTGCATATTTCTGAATTACCTATTTAGTCTTTATTTACTTTTATAATTTAGAAATTTAAATAATTTTTGGACACTAGAAGTTGGAACTGCATTGAATTTGTGGACATCAAAACCTAGGACCAGGGTCAGGCACCAATCCAAGATATTATGTTTTGAACTCTTGGATGAGAGAAGAAATGAGTGGGAAGAAAGAAGAAGAAAGAAACTAGCAGAGAAAAAAGAAAAGAGAATGAAGATCTAAAAATAGAATTACTTGCAATTCTGTTTTTACTTATATTTTATGATTAAATCCTCTTGCTTGCTCACTTTTGTTCTTTATATTTGCAATAATTTCTCGCATCACTTACCAATCTTGCAGAAAATTGATGGAAAATCCATGGCATAACTCATCCTTTGATGGCTCTGGGTTTGTTAGATTGTTTCTTCCTATGAACTCTGAAAATAGAAATTTCTTTACCAGGTATTAGTTATTACCATTCAAGAGTATTTTCCTTTGTAATTTCTAGTCCTTGCCAATTTCTAAACATTTCTGCTGTCAGTGACTGGATATCGAAATGCCTTAATCTATGGGTCTCTATCCCAAATTGTCAATTTTGGGATATTCAGTGGGCTTCTACTATAGCACGTTCTATAAAAAACTGCAAGGCAATTGATTGGGAACAATTTCTGCCGGCGCTTTTCACCAGATACTTAAACATGTTTGAGGTCAGCATAGTAGTTGGTTCTTTTCATCCAATGTGAAATAGTTGGAATATTGAAAGACAGATTGCCTTCTTGCCTAGCTTGCATTCTTAGTTTTTATTATAGCAGAAATATAATGGCAACCTTCATGCCTACTACATTAATTGAAATTATTTCCCTAATTTACAACATTGCTAAAATAGATGTAGATTCTAACTTCTGTACAGATTATCTCAGTGTTGTGATCTCCATTACTTTTTAAAATTTAGGTTCCTGTTTCAAATACGCATGGATCATATCCTTTCCCATTGGAGGTCCCGAGAAATACGAGATTTTTGTTTTCCAGCAAAATGGGCACGCCTGGCAAGGCCATTGCAAAGTCAATTGTAAGGATCTTGTTGTAGGTTTATTTTACTTAGAGACAGATTAAATATTTCATGGCACTTCAATAGCATATTGTCAATGTTTAAGCCTCCTTGATGTTTCTACTATCTCAACTACATGATGCATATTTTCAGGTGTATCTTTTAAAACCTGGTAGTGCGGCACAGGAGTACTTTGAGAGACTGGCAAATTTACTGGAACAGTTAGCCTTCCAATCTCTTTTAGTTTTTTCCCCCCCGAGAATAATCTCTTTCAGTTCTTTGTCTGTATCTATGAACAAAAGATGATGGTAATCCAGTTTTTGCTTCCTGATAGTTTTTAGCTTTCCAGATATTACCATCCTTCTAATGGAGGTCGTTGGACTACCTCACTGGAGCGTTTCTTGCGGCACTTGGTTATTTGTTTCCAATACCGTCTTCGTCATGAACAGACGTAGGAAATTGAATTCCACTTATGTAGCTTTTTCTGTTTATTTTTAATCCTTACCTGAAACTTACCTCCACTTTATGAAATACATGCAGTAACTCAAATAGTAACAGCCAAGCTGAATTGTGTTTGGGAAAGTTAGAAAGAGTTTCTTTTGTCAAAGTGGTCCTGAAACTAATAGACCGTGGTCAGTATAGCAAAAATGAATCTCTTGCTGAAACAGTTTCTGTTGCAACTTCACTACTGTCATATGTGGAGCCCTCTCTCGTTCTTCCATTTGTTGCATCTCGATTCCAACTGGCCTTGGAGACCGTAAGTATTGATGTGATATTTCTTAATTTATGTGCTGGAGGTGACACAAATTCTTATGACAAGCATGCCAGCCCTCCCCACTCATGAACCGACACTGATTTTCTGTCCTTTATCAAGTAAACTTTTTAGTTTTCTGATCATTAATCTTTAGACTTTCTCCTGTTCCGTTTCTGGGACAGATGACAGCTACCCACCAGCTGAAAACTGCAGTCACATCAGTGGCTTATGCTGGTCGTGCCCTACTTCTTTCTTCTGTTACCACTGCCCAACAAACTGATGACCTTGAGACTTCTGATGCTTTCATGGATCTTTTGGCAATATCTTTATCCAATGCATTGCTTGGTATGGATGCTAATGATCCTCCAAAGACCTTGGCGACCATGCAGCTAATTGGCTCGATATTTTCAAATGTAGGTACTCTAGTGCATGATGTATCATGTTGAAAATTAGTATAATTATTTGACCGTATTTTTTTGGTCAATACAGTTAGCAATTGTGGGTGGTAACAATGATGGCCCCACTTTCTTCCAGAACCTGAGTTTTTCTGAATGGTTGGATGAGTTCTTCTGTCGCTTGTTTTCTTTACTTCAACACTTGGAGTCAAGTAGCGTAACGTGAGTACTTGAATTTTTTTTTATTTGACAATGCCTGTACACTCTTATAATATCTGAAAGCACAATATGCGACCCGCAGGCATGAGGGTCTGGAAACTTCACTCACATCGGGAACTTTTCTGGTTGAGGACAGTCCTTACTATTTCTCTATGCTAGAAGTCCTTCTTGGAAAACTGTCCAAACCTTTGTTTAATCAGGTTTTTAGTTGTTAACAAACCGTTTGTCACTTCAATTATTCGATTTCATGTACTTTGGTCTTGGTCGTCTTATGAGCTTGTTAATTTCCTCTTGAGCTTTTCAGTCATTGAAGAAAATTTCCAAATTTGTCAACACAAATATTCTTCCTGGGGCTACTGCAGAGGTGGGGCTTCTTTGCTGTGCTTGTGTCCTTTCTAATCCCCAAGAGGCAGTTGTCCACCTTGTCAAACCAATTTTAATGGCCGTAACATCTTCATTAGAAGGGACATCAGTTTCAGGATTTGTTGGACTAGAAGTTTCAAGTGTATCATATTCAACAAAGGTTATTCTTCTACCCTGCGAGCACATGATTCTGTATTATGTTCAGCATCCTATTGTGAACTTAGTTTATTTGCAGGCTACAATTTCTCCAGCTCTAGAAACAGCAGTTGAGTATCATCTAAAAGTACTGGCTGTTGCAATTAGTTACGCGGGTCCTGCTCTGCTTCATTACAAAGATGAACTGAGAAAAGCAATTGCATATGCATTTCAGGCTCCTTCTTGGAAGGTTCTGTCAGCAGTATTTTCTCCTTAAAGTTTGATTTACTTGTGATAAATAATCAACTAAACTGGGGTGGCTCTGCTTACCTCTGTCATAGTTTCTTTTTTCACTTACTAACGGCGATTTTTTGCTAAACAAATAGATCAATGGAGCTGGCGACCATGTTCTTCGATCTCTTCTTGGGAGTCTTATCCTCTATTACCCGATTGAACAGTACAAGTATGATATTTCTCAAGTTAGGATAGCATATTCCATTCAATCTCATCAAATTCTTTTAATCTTGTCCTACTACCCGTGATTGCTTATTTACAGCGATATGAATTTGTTGATGTTTAGGACCTTCTCATGTCATCCGACAACTACTGTATTAGAAGATTGGTGTTGCTCAAAGAATTACGAGAAGATAAAGAACGAAACCTTCAATGCCCTCCCTAAGTGGCATATTCCTAGACAGGACGAAATTTCATTTGCAAATGAACTACTAGACCTTCATTTTCAATCTGCTTTGGATGAGTTGCTCAATATATGCCAGACGAAAATGTATACTGATGCAGGTAAACGAGTAGTGTTCAGTGGTCTAAATGATTTTGCCAAAAGTTTGTATTTCTTTGGATAAAGGGTAACGCACATGTATGTCTTTCTAAATTGTGAACGTGAAATGGTTGTGTTGTTGGTTTGTTTTCACGAACTTTGACACTTCAGGGCATTAGAGTAGGCAGGCTAAATAACTTGTCATATATTTTTTAAGGCTAACTGATAGAAACCTACCATTGGCTCTTATTGAAGCTGTCAGTATTTTTAGATATTTGAAGCATTCATTAACCCTTTCTTAGTCTAGTGAAAGTGCAGCAAAGATATTTGTTTTCTAGAATGTTTTTTGTATGATGGGTATTGTTTCCATTTTTTATAGTAGTGCTGATATCTGCATGTAAATTTTTGATTGCACAGGAAATGAGAAGGAGCACTTGAAAGTGACTCTGCTGCGTATCTACTCATCACTGCAAGGTGTCATGTCATGTTTGCCTGATATGCACCCCTCCTGTAAAAATGGCGAGGCCAAAGATTTGTGTAACAAACACTTTTTAATTGCGGGAGCAGTTGGTTCATCCATCGGCAGTTCTGAAATGAGGGAAAAAGCTGCTCAGCATGTACATCAAGCCTGCAGGTACCACTTGGAATATGCTCATATTTCATGTAAATGGTGCTAGTTTTTCTAAAGCATGTGCTTCTATACATTTTTCAGATATCTATTGAAAGAACGATCAGATGACAGCATACTTCTGATACTCCTCATACGTGTCATGGATTCTTTAGGAAGTTATGGTAATAGTACAGCAGCAAAATGAAGAATCCATTACACTTCAACATGTTTTTGTGATTTTTAATCTTATTCAAGAGAATATCTCGTCATTTTTCTATTTGGTCCTTTGCATAAAATATAATTCAGGAAGCTTGGAATACGAAGAATGGTCAAATCACGTTCAGGCCTGGAAGCTGGAATCTGCTGCCCTAATTGAGCCTCCATGCAATTTTATTGTTTCCTCACATGCTCAAGGAAAGAGAAGGTGCCATCCCAGTTTATCATCTTTTTCCTAGTTTGGATTTTTAAGTCGATAATCATTTTGCATAAGTTTTGCTTACTTTGTGTTATCAGACCTAGATGGGCACTCATTGACAAGGCATACATGCATAATATATGGAGAGCGTCACAATCATCATACCATAAATTCCGTACAGATAACAATCTATCTCCGTCAGAGCACTTGATTCCTCTAGTGGAGGACCTTTTAGATCTCTCTGTGCACAACTATGAAACAGTACGCTCGTAAGTTGTTTTATTATCTTCAGTCAGGATATGTTATTTCTGAAAATTTCCTATTGCTTTTAATTTTAATACTTTATCTTCCTTTTTTCTGTTGTCTACATTTTGGTTCAACCATGCAAGTGACTGTTGGAGATCAATAATAACCTATGCCTCTGTTTCCTTATGTGTTTTCTCTGTATTAAAGATAAGCCTCTAGTTTGGAACTCATATTGTTCATATATTTTAATACCCTTTATTTTTTTAGAATATCTCTTATTTTATCATTCATTGCGGAACACCATAGATGCAATTCTTAAGAGTTGATGTGTCCTTGTGCGTGTGCCAGTCCTCATTCACATTACCTAAAAAGATTACCTCTTGTGATTTTTCAAGCTTATTATATATTATTTATTGTGCTAAATGAACCTCTATTTTTGGTCGCATCCTATCTTGAAGAATTAGCTTCTTATGTTGCCTAAAAAAAACTGAGTGTCATGCTTTGTTTGATTTTCACATTGCAATACTATGTGTACAAGCGTACTATCTCCAATAATGAGTTCTTTATGTTATTAAGAAAACTGAATTTCAATTTGCTCTTTTTTCATTTCAAAATTTGAAGTTATTATCTCTGATTTGTTTTGTTGAAATGGACAACTAGGCTTGCAGGAAGATCTCTTTCAAGGATCCTCAAACGCTGGCCACCACTAACTGCTAAGTGCGTGCTCACCCTTACTGAAAATCTGCGTGATCCAAAGACACCAGAACATGTGGTGCTAGGATCTTGCACAATTCTTGCAACACAGACTGTTCTTAGGCATTTGACGATGGTAGGTCATTACTGTACATGATAATTTTATTTTGACCATTTCATTTGATAACAAAACTTCTTTTTTTTAAATAGGACGCAGCCTCTTTCACTTCATTTATAATGGGTCTTCTATCCAGGTACTCATTACCTACTGTCAATATCATCCTTTTTCTTGAAATCATGTATCTTCCTCCTGAATCTTATGAACATCTTTGTTGTCCTAATGAAGCTCTCACCATGAATCATTGAAAGTTCAGAAAGCTATCACTGAGGTATAATTTAGTGATGCAATTATTTGCAGCAGTTTATTTTGGTTTTATTTTTAATTTTTCTACATTGTGTTTCTTGATCAGCTTTTTGTTAAGTATAACATCCACTTCTCTGGAATATCAAGGAGTTTCTTCAAGAGTTCAAACAACCATACTGATGGGCTAGATTTCCTGGATTTGGTTTCTCATGTCACTTCCTTGAGCTTTGACACTAATGGTCTGCATTGGCGGTATGATTTTGTCTGCATATCTTTATTGCTCTTACGGTCTTATTCTTGCATGGGTCGCACATCTTTCATATTAATTTTAGTTTGTATTTGTTACTTTTTTTTTGGTGTAGAGGATTGTATTTTCTCATAATATTTTTCATCTAAACTTTATGCACATTGACCTCTTTTTTTGGATTACTGAGAGAGGAATAATGAGGGACTGAACTCCCTTTTCAGGTATAATTTGATGGCTAACAGAGTACTGCTTTTGTTAACTTTAGCGTCAAGGAGTAACTCAAACCTTTCTTCAAAAATTCAAGCAGAAACAGCTGGCAAGTATTACTTTCAGTTTCTTATTAATCAGCAGTTAAGATGTGTTTCTGTTGTTCCACTACTTGGGGTAAAATCTTTTAGATATATGAAAATCACTCTTTACCATGTCTCACCCCTTGCTTGGAAAAAAATTCATCATGCAGGACATTTCCTCAGAAATTTGAAAAGTCAGCTTCCTCAGTCAAGAATGCTCGCAATATCAGCATTAAACACCTTATTGCGTGGGGCACCTCATAAATTTTCTAGTCAAGACCAGCAACATTTATCTAAGCATCTCAAGGAAAAGACTGACTCGTCGGTCGAAGGAATTTTAGGTCAGATAGTAAATGAAGAGGGATTTTTCAATGATACTCTGAACAGCCTTTCTCATATCCATATAATTGCTGATAGTGAGAACTCTTCTTCAAAAATGAACCATGGAGGTTCATCTTTTCAGAGCCTGGCAGATAAAGCAATCACTTTTTTCTATTTTGATTTCTCGGCATCATGGCCACGTACTCCCAGTTGGATATCTTTGCTCGGATGTGATACTTTTTACTCTAATTTTGCCAGGATATTTAAACGCCTGCTACAAGAATGCGGTTTGTCAGTTCTGGATGCCCTTAGAAATGCAGTAGAAGAATTTTCTACTGCAAAAGAAAGGTCAAAGCAATGTGTTGCAGCTGAAACTATGGCTGGAATATTTCACTCTGATATTAATGGTCTCTCAGAAGCTTGGGACAGTTGGATGATGCTTCATGTGCAGAAGATTATGCTATCATCATCGGTGGATTCCATCCCTGATTGGGCAGCTTGTATACGATATGCAGTTACAGGAAAAGGAAAGTATGGCACAGGAATTCCTCTTCTGAGGCAAAGAATTTTGGACTGCTTAGCGAAACCTTTACCGAATACAGTGGCAAGCAATATTGTGGCCAAGAGGTATGCTTTGCTATCAGCTGCACTCATTGAAATCTCTCCACCCTCCATGCCTATTGCAGAGGTGGAATACCATAATAAGCTTCTGGAGGAGTTGCTGGACAACCTGAGCCACTCATCTGCCCAAGTAAGTTTTCCATGACAAAATTTATTATTGAATTTGAATAACTTGCTTTTTGTCATTTTATCAAAATGTAGTTATGCAATATAGTGTAGTCGTCATCACTACAGCTAAATCTCTGTTACATGACTCAAATTCTTTCTCACACAAAATTTATCTTCCAAGTTTGAGTGCCTAGCATTGAACTTGAACGGAAAGGACCGGAGTAGAGATTTCTATGATTTACTGACAGTAAATGAACATACGCAAAATATATAGGTATAGAGATATTGTACTCTTGAATGATATTTATAACTTAGTCATAGTAAATTGTCAACACATGGTTTCTAGCGCGTTATTTTTCGTATTGGGAGTCAGTCATTTACATTACTAGCTTTTTAGCACTTACTAATTAGAGTTTTCTTTGCCGATCTGAACCTCCTACTTGTCATCCTTCTTTTTCTTCCTTCATGAATCTTGCGCTCAAAATTACTTCTACTAGCCTCATCAATAAACTTAATATTGTAAGCTGGCTTAGAGTGATCTGAGTTTTAATGTGTGCCACTTACAATATTTGCTCAAAATTTATAGTTTTCTTAAGTTGGATTATTTTGTCCAATTGATGACTTACTTCACAGATTTCTTCTCAGTTTCCTTAATATCAATTTCACTAGCTTACTATTATGTTTTCTAAACTCTTTCTTGCTCGTGTATTAATATATTTCAGGTGAGGGAAGCAATAGGTGTTACCCTTTCTGTATTATGTTCAAATATACGGCTCTTTTCAATGTCTTGTCATTCTCACACACAAGTGGAAAGTTGCTAAGATAATAATAAAAGCAGCTTCCATTTCTGCAGTGAATATCCAAAATGCAAATCAAATTGAAATTATGGAGACAACTACAGATATAACTCATGACAGTGACAGTACAAACAACGAGTCGCAAATAGATGTTAAAAGAATGGAAACGGTATCCCTCGATTATTATACTCTGTAAGACAACTAGCTCTATTCCTTTTTCTAATTTAATATTTCACCATTTTCTGTTTTGCAGATTTTTCATTTGATTATCTCTTCATTGAAATCTGGAAGATCGTCATTTTTGATGGATTTAGTTGTTGAACTTCTTTGGCCAGTTATTTCCTTACAGGTATATAAAGCTCGCAAAAGTTTGTACTACTAACATTAAATGATTGCAACTTCTTTTCCAGTGATCCTTGCACATTTTCCTCCATTCATCTTATATTATTTTCATAACAGCTTTTTGACTGGTATATATCATAACATGATATAAGATTGTGAATGCTTACATGCTTATACAAAAGTGCTTTACTTTTATCTGCATCATGGTTCACATCTTGAGCAAGACTTCTGGATACTAGAACTGGAGGTTTTCAATAATTTAACTTGTATCGAGCAGTACAAATTTATAATGAAGAATTGATTTTTCACACCTACATGTTATCTCTGGTTAATAGCGGAAATTGACTTTGCAGATAGTAATCATCATCTAAGCCCTATCCATTAGATGAGGCTGGCAAACATATGATTTAGCGTCATATTCTGGCAAACATGGCAGAGGTTAAGCGTAATTCATAGTATGCCAATAAGCAGTAGCCTGGCAGGTAAACCAAACTTGAAGAGTTGAGTATAGATTCATAGAAACCTAGTAGTGTTTCTAGAATGAGGAAAATGGACTAAAAAATGGATGGGATATGATAAAAAAAAACTTTATAACAAGAATTTACTTGTCTATGAGACATGTAATCTAAAGATCTATATTCCCATAATTTCTGTTTGACAAAGAAAGTTTAGATAGACCTTCAAGATGATAACAGTATGTGACTGGCATTTTGCAAGTGGGGTTTCCCAGGGGAGAGGGAGGGATGTCTTCAGAGCACCCACAAGGACAAGTTGAAATTCTATCCTGAGGTCTTTGCCTCTTTCTTAGGGAACTGCTTTAAAGTGCTACAAGAAGTCTATGTATTTATTGCACTGCTAATAAACAGTTGAGAATGTTAGTTGAGAAGTTACATATTCATCTTCCAAAGATTTAGCTAGAAATAGAATTGCAGTTTCCAATTCTACTTCTCATTAAGGTTAATGGTGATTCAAAAAAAGTTAAATTGGATATGATGTGTGATAAATTGCGGAAAATGAGTTCACCTGATAGCAAGACAAATTGAGAATTCCATTCGAGTCATATTGTATTTAATCTATAGTTTCTAGAATCAGAAAGCATCTATTTTTTGAATTTATTAGCATTATAAAGTAGATGTTCCTAGTACATACTTAAACTAGTATGTAGTTGAAGTCTTGAGTTTGCTATAGTCTACACATGCATACAAAGAAGTCCTGTATATGCATATATGTGCGAGTGTGCGTGCGTGTAAAGGCATACATCTAAAATATCTAGAATCCTCCTAAAGTTGAATGTTTGAGAATCATAACCTAAATAGTAAATCTGCTATATCCAAGTGTCCACTTTCTGATAACTTGGTTCATGATAGAGACAGTCAGTGTTAACGATGCATGATTTGTCACGCTGTTGGCTCTCAACTCATGAGTTCTGGTGCTTTTTTGTAGGAGACATCTAATAAGGATTTGTCGACACTTGCAAAATCAGCCTTTGAGCTCCTAAAGTGGAGGATTTTACCACCAGAAATTCTAGAACGAGCTGTCCCTGTGATTCTTACTTCAATTAATGATCCAAACTGGAGAACCAGATCTGCATCTCTTTCTTATCTTCGGACTTTTATGTATAGGTTGAGATTTCTGCCCCTAAGAGCTTCTGTTTACTGCATCATTTCCTGTTTATTTGTAAGATTATGCTTTTATTATTGGCGTACTTTCATTTTGTTTAATTGTTTGTTCAAATTTACACTTTCTATTCTTCTCCCTCTTCCTTCTTATGGGGTTATCCAAGTCTCTCAGGCTACTTTTGACCTTCCTGATCCCTGAGGCACATTAAATGCTTCTCTCTTGAGTAGTTGAAGTCATCATGGAAAAAATCAAAATCCTTTGGAGGGTAATCACTGGAAATACAGTATCTTGAACTCAACCAACTATGACTTTTGCTACAACTCGACAGCACTTATATGGGGACAGATACCACAATCCCTTTGGCAACTCTATTGATAACTGTCATGTTGTGTTCTTATAGTATAGGGTTGCTGAAGGAGCAAGATTGAGGTGTTCAAACCGACTCCTAAATATTTCAAACTGATTAGGCCCTTGTATTATCAATTTGCCGAGCAAAGATGACTCGAAGTTGGATCCATTTTGACTTGTAAGTGTCAGCCAATCCCAGATAGATTTATCAAGTCTCTTAATTTGTTGTGTTTTTAGATGCAATTCTATTTTAAGCTTTTGTTGCCCTTGGTACTCCCATATAGTTACCTGAGACCCTTAACTGCTAAAATGCTAGTGCCTTGTTTTATGGTACTAATGGATTCAAATTATTTCTGATCCTCCACGGTGATAGGTGTTGTGTTCTGCATCAGGTTTATCCTTGGTGCTACACAGGACATTTATAACTCTACCAGTTGATAGATTTACAACAAGTAACCGCTTCTCAGGAAGCAAAAATATGCAACCAACTGTAGGTTTGAAGTTTCTGTTTATCTATCTCTAGGGAACTTCATACTTTTTTGACCTTATATCTCTTCTATATTAACAGAGTGATATTTAATAGAGAACAAGAAAAATATGTAATTATGGACTTGGCACCAAGTAAACTATGCCTTCTATAAGAAACACAGTTTTTTGGTGTAGGTTGGACCTTATCTTAAGGGTTTGATAGTGGATAATTTTTTACGTTGCATTTAAGGTGAAGTGACCATATAGGTATATATAGCATTTAGACATCTTTTTTGGTATATTAGCTCATGTCAAGTGGAGATGGCGAACATGAAGTTGTATGCAACCATAAGGGGCCCTACACAGATTAGATTCCCAAAACTTTTTTTTGTATTTTTTAGTATAATAATAAATTTAATTTTACTTGATGCGTTCTATTTTCTTTGCATTGGATATGCCTGTTTCAGCACCTGGACACCTACTAATTGACTCATTTTGAAAGCTTAGCTAAGCTTTTGTTTTAATCTTTGGACAATAGGATGTAGGTCAAAATTCCAGCCACAAACACGTAATATTTAGTCTAAAACATTGTTTGAATGATTGCAACCTAAAAATAGGTTCTCTAGGATTAAAGCAGCACATAATTAAGCAATGCAATCCCCAAAAGATCTGCAATCAAGTTCAAAATTACCCCGCAACAGTAGCAGGAACAGCCATAATAATATCTTTAGCATCTATTCATCCTTCACCCCATACTAGTCAGCCAGAAGATGATCCATAGAGGAAGCCTGTTGACAGTCCAGAAAATCGAGATCTCCCATACATCAAGAGACCAGTGGAAAGATGAATAAGTTAAAAGAAAATACGCCTTCCTTTTGAGCATTTGTTGCTAAATAAATGAATATTTTTTGATCCATGTTAACCTGAATATTTGTCGCCATTGTATATTGAAATGCATGGTTTAGTACAGTTCTCACGTGTTCGGTGTTCTTTCCTTTTACATAGTTCTTCCTATGAATGTGAGGATATAGAGGAATTCTAAATTATCGAAAATTTGACCATGAAAAACCTGAATAAAGTGGTTATGGTTTGGACCCTTTAAAACTATTTTGCTTTGGATGAGTATACTCACCCTAAAGCTTACCAGGCTCAGCCTGAATTCATTGCCACCCCTGAGTGTCACCTGTATGGATTTGATATAGTGGTGCAATTTCAAGGTGGTGAAGCTGCCATGCTGAGCTCCATTCTTCATGTGATTTTATAGTATGTCCGCTTGTGCAGTATTGAAGAGTTCAATAGATACTACACTAGTTGTGTCAAGAGAATTGATGGATTTCCTATTAAAGTGGCTGTTTTACATGATGATGGTGGTTCTGGCTTTATGTTGGCAACAGGCATACATTTGTACTCCCAGAAGTGGAGAAAGGACAAATCTGGAATAGTATTGAGAAGCTACTTGTTGATAGCCAAGTTGAGGTATATTCTTAGTTTTTCCTCCCAGTTGTTCAGTAATTTTTTTTTGTTCCATATATGTTGGCGATTTCTGATTATTAATTTTCAATTCTCAACATGAGTTCAGGTGAGGGAGCATGCTGCTGGAGTTCTTGCGAGCTTACTGAAGGGTGGTGACGAGGAACTGTCTAGGGACTTTCGTGATCGAGCATATTCTGAAGCACAATCAACTCTAAAGAAACGGAAGCAAAGGTTAAAGTTATTTCATATGCTTTACATGTTCTCTCTTATATCATTAGAGAACATATGAAGATTGCAACGTAAACAAATTTGGATTTAACAAAAAACTATTGCTTTTGACATATTGAGTTAGACGTGAAATTAAGTGGAATTCATCATACAGAAAATCGAGGTCTGAATCTATAGCTTCTGTACATGGTGCTGTTCTTGCTTTGGCTGCTTCTGTACTATCAGTTCCATATGACATGCCAAGGTATGTTGTCGGGCACATCTTTTAGCTACGTCAACCGTTTATCACTGGTGTATTTTGTTATAACAAATCATAAAGCTGTAGTTTCTAACATAGCCTATCAGTTGTATTTCTTCAATCATCATTTTCATTTTTATTCACAAATGTTTCCTTTCACAACTTGTATCTATATCTTACTAGTATTCATCCCGTGCTAAGCACGACATCCTTACAGATTATTTTTGTGCGCAATTTTCTCTCATCTTATTTTTTTGTTTTGTCACGATAAATTTATCTTAAACATACTTATGGACATTATAACAACTTAACACAGATAGGTATTTGTGGACATTATAACAACTTAATTCAACTTAACTCAGATGGACAAAGAAAAAAGAGTCATAATCAGTATTTATGGACATTATAACAACTTAATTCAACACGATGGTTTTAGAGAATATGAATTTGCTAATAGACTTACAATGATGACCTCCTCTTGGACTCTGAGATCTTGATCAGTACTTTGAAAACACGATGTTGCACTGTAGAATAGATACATAGTAAGGCAATTAGTTTATATCAAATGAGATTATCACATTTTCTCTAAAGTACAATTGAAAATTCCAGTAATCATCGATTGTCAGTTGTATTTCGGTATTGTAACTCTTATTTCCAATATAAGTTTAATCAATTTATAATATAAAGATATATTGGATTGTTAGATTAAATAGCTTGTTATCTTTATTTACTATCAATTATTGAGTTACAAAATTGTAAGATAGCGATCTCCGTTGGTCTTCAATCGTTTATTATACTCAGTTTTCAATAATCCTAACAATCTCCATTCAGCTGCCGCAAATTAAATTAGGCTTACTGATCAAATCAAACGCCAGTCTCAAAATTAACATTTTTAGACAGTTACATTCCTCAAACTCTTAATTCAAGAAAAAAAATATATTGATAACGATAACACTACAGTTCTTAGATATATTTGTCATAAAAGACCCTTGTTACCAAGATGTTGTTTTGGGAATCTATTAAAAATTCAATTTTTTTACCAACAAACCCCCAAATTAACACTCAATTCAAGAACCTCACATCAAAAAACAAAATAAAAACGAAGCTAATCACCAAACCTTTGTCCTTCTTGATATCCTCCTTCCTCCACTTTCGATGTCGAGCCCAATCGGCGATGCTACTGCATCCCTCGCCGATGGACTTGCTCTCGGCCGCATCGAGCACGATCTCGATCCGCAGCACGCGATCGGAGAAATTGCTGCAGTTGAAGGCGAACTCAAAGTTGTTGCCGCTATCTCCGCTGCTAGAGTTTGAGAGATCCATGATTGCTTGCTGCTGCTGCTGCAGTTGGATGTCGCTATTGCGATCCAAGGGGTCCACCTTCATCCCCTTCATTCGAATCTCGTAAAGAGCAACGCCGGCGAGCAAGCAATTCTGATCCCTAACCCTAACCCTAACCCTATTTTCCTTCGAGTTAAAACAAAAAAGGAAAGAGAAGAAGAGAAAGCAAGCGAGCGAGCGAGAAGAAGAAGAGAAGGCGATGATCAGCAGTCTCATTCCAGTCGACGCGGTGCTGATGCCGCTGCCGTTGCTGTTGAATGAAAGGGGGAAGTCGAGGAAGGGATCGAAGATGGAGCCCTTAGAGCATCTCCAACAGCTTCTCTAAAATTTTCTCCAAAATGGGGAAGCAAAAGTCATATTCTCCAACTAATTTTTACACCAACTCCAACAGCTTCCCCATTTTGAAGAATCCATTTTTTTCTCCAAAATTTTGAAGAATGCTGCAGATTTGGGGAAGCTTCCCCATTTTTTCTCCTCCATCCCTATTTTGAGGAATGAGATGGGGAATCTGTTGAGCCAAAAACCTAACTAAATTCTCCAAAAGTGAGAAATGGGGAAGCTGTTGGAGATGCTCTACTACTTCGCCTGGGGATTCCCATCGCTCTCAATTTTTGATTTTTTTTTTGATTTTCTGAATATTCTTTCTGAAGAAATATTGAGAGAGGAAGAGAGAATTGTGGGGAATCGTGGGAAGGGAAGTTTGAGGGGTTGCGAGCACGCTTAGACGGTTGTTGGATATTCATTTTATTTTTTTCATTGTTCATTAATCATAACCTTAGGTTACTGTTCATTTTAGCTTTTTGTTGTTCTCCTTCAGTAATAAAGAAGTAGATATGCATAAGGCTGTAGGTAATGGTTAACGATGCTGTGAGCTCATGGCTATGCTTTGGTTTGTTCCTATTGCCTTTGATGTGTTTCTTTTTGAATTGTAAAAGGAGAAAGGTTCCTGGTTTTCCTGGTTTATCTCTAATGTTTGACAAACTTCATTATTTTATGCAACTATTGATCTTTCCTTCTTGCTAAATATTCCCCTATTTCTGAGCACAAGTCTTGAGCTACCAGCCGTCGTGCGAGTCTGAAATTTTTGTTCAAATCCTTTGCAGCTGGCTTCCAGATCATGTAACCTTGCTTGCCCGGTTCATCAGCGAGCCATCCCCTGTGAGATCTACGGTCACAAAAGCAGTTGCAGAATTCCGGCGAACTCATGCAGATACCTGGAATATCCAAAAAGATTCATTCTCTGAAGACCAATTAGAGGCAAAGTTCTAAACTCTTCCCTATTGTGTAAATCTTTTTAAAAGAAAAACTGTAAAATATCTTTTCTCTAATCAAATATCTTATGTTTTTTTTTTACCTCTTTCAGGTCCTGGCCGATACATCTTCATCTTCTTCATACTTTGCTTAAATTACATAGATCAGATTATTGTACCATCGTAGAAATAATTGTTGTGAGAAAAAAAAAAGAGTTCTATATATTTGTTGTACCAATAGTTTACAGAAATAAGCTTCTCAATTTGCTTTCATTTACTCTCTCACAGGCTACGACCTTTTTACGAGATAATTATTTTTAGATTCTTTTTGATATATTAGTTAATTCTACGCCCCGATCAGTTGATCAAACTATGTGATTCATCATAAGGTCATCAGACAAATCCCATAAAACACCATCAGAGCCGAAAAGCCCAGCATCGATTTTCCTCCTCTTGCCTTCAGCCTCCACCCCCTCGTCGTCACTGTGTTTCTCGTGCAATACATGACAGTCTGGTGTTCCACCGCCCCCAGTGCACGTGCTACCCGTGCACATGCTCTGGCTCCATGCTGACCCCTCGCCATTCGCATACGATGGTCCCTCGTACCTGAACTCATCCCCTATCGTTCGATACAAATCATCATCGCACATTGACACAACAGGAAGCCCATCTGATGGCTCTCCGTTCTCCATTAAGCCCCAGCTCTTATCGGTTCCAGGCTCCTGCATGATAGCTCGAGAGAGCCCTAGCTTGATCTTCTGAACAGTCTCTTCCTTGTCCTCCACGGGGCTCATTGCATAGGGGAAGCCCGTGCCATCACCGACATCAGTACCGTTTGCAGGGAAATCCGCCCGCTTCTTGGTAAGGAGGTGCAGCATTTCGTCCTTGAAGCAGCCGAGGGCAGCTTCAGCGAGGTGGGCTACTTGCAGCGGGGGAACCGTGGTAGCAATCTCGGCCATGAGATGGGAGAAGGGCTTGTGGGTCACCGGGTCGATACCCTTGCCCAACAGCTTCTTCTTCAGCTTCGTGTTCCAGTGGTTCTTCACATCGTTATCTGTTCGCCCTGGCAGTTGCCCTGCTATCAACGACCACCTGCGGTCGCAGACATCCAGAAACGCTCGGTAAAAAACAACCCTCACTACACTACACTCGTATGATTCTAGATGGGAGGTGAGGTTATTATAAATGCCTGTTCCCGACGACGGAGTGGAGCTTGACGATGGTCTGCTCTTCGGAGTCTGAGAATACGCCGTGCTTGAGATCCGGGCGGAGGTAGTTGGTCCATCGTAGCCGGCAGCTCTTCCCACATCTCTGAAGGCCTGCGATGGGCGAAATAAAAGAGGTTAGCACTAAAATTTAATTGCAAGGCCAAAAATTAAATTTAATTTTACCGGCATTTTTGGGGATGAGACGCCAGTTTCGGGTGCCGTGTTGTGCGATGTAGGAAGAGAGCTTGTTGTCCTCCTCGGGGGTCCACTGTCCTCTCTTCACATTATCCTTCTCACAGCAAGGAATCCTTCCCATTGTTTTTCTATTTCGTTAAATTAAATTATTTACTAGTCCCTTCACGAACGGGGATTTCTCTTATAATCTTCTATATCTGATGAGGGGAGTAAAGAATGACGACAATATTTATACAAGAGAAAGAAAGGGGATTAGAGTCGGGGGTCACGTGTGGGTGCATGGAGGTTCGAGGAGCGTGATTTGTGTAAAGAATTCAACGCCCGTTGAGCGTGAGGCCAGGGGCAGGTTGCTCACCCACAAGACGCCAGCAGGTCAACCCTCGCCCCTCTCAGGTTTTAGGGTTTTCTTTCTTGTCGACTCTTTTACGTGGCCTTTCCGAAATTTTGTTCGTTGCTTGGGATTGTTGCTCATGCAACATCGGTTTGCATTTCGGATAGCAAATTACCCTATTTAGAATTTAGCTCGCCTTTATTACATAACTTATGGCTGTGCTCTTTAGTTTCTAGATGATTCTTGAGATTGTTTTGAGTTTCTTTCCCATGTTCTTTGGTACTTTGACAGATACATTAGATGCGCCGATTTTTTTGATGCGCGTTTTATATTTGTGTGGGTATTAGTTTAAAATTTTGGTTAATTTTTTCTAGAGATGGTCGCTCTTTGAATTTTGAGTATACTAAGGATTAAGAGTAAGAACGTTACGTTGGAGGTTGGATGGAATCGAGTATTAACGATCATATCCTTTGGAGGATGGAAGGAATATCGGAGTGAAGCAATGCATTCAAGTCAAATATCCAAGTTCAAGCTTCATCCGCAAAGTTTACCAAGAAGAGCATATTGAATATTAATCAAGCTTGGGTAAATAGACTAGGTGTTATATTATGTGTGTTAAATACTTCAAGCTCAATCATACACACACATACACGTTTTGTATATATATATATATATATATATATATGAGATTAATGGGTATCCTTGTCATAGGAGGGGATTTCCTCCTATGACGCCTCTAAAATCACATGATTGAGCGACATTGTGGATGATCCGCTCCGTTGAACTTGATCTACATATTCTAAAACCCCAACACACCAAGTTTGGGGTGAATCTGTCGTCGTTTGACCCTCCATCGAACCATGTCAAAAGTTCTATTCATTCAAAACCGTTAAAATTGATACGAGTTGATGAAGGGTCAAACGACGATGGGTTCACCCCAAACTTGGTGTGTTGGGGTTTTAGAATATGTAGATCAAGTTCAACGGAGCGGATCATCCACAATGTCGCTCAATCATGTGATTTTAGAGGCGTCATAGGAGGAAATCCCCTCCTATGACAAGGATACCCATTAATCTCTCTCTCTCTCTCTCTCTCTATATAACCCCAAACTTGGTGTGTTGGGGTTTTAGAATATGTAGATCAAGTTCAACGGAGCGGATCATCCATAATGTCGCTCAATCATGTGATTTTAGAGGCGTCATAGGAGGAAATCCCCTCCTATGACAAGGATACCCATTAATCTCATATATATATATATATATATATATATATATATAATATAATTAAATGT